ATATATATATATATATATATATATATATATATATATATATGTATATATTTTTACAGCCAAGATAAATTATGATTTATTAATTAGACATTTAAATTTTATTTTGATTTTCTTTGATAAGTATTGTTTTCTAATTTTTGTCGTGTACAACTTTTGAATATATTAAAATTTTTAAGATGTTTGTTGTTGTTTTCGTTGTAAACTGGAAAAATCTGGAATGTTACAATGAAATTTTTTTGTCGTAACGTTCACTTCCACGATAATGTTTGAAAGTTGAGAAAAGGCGTAATATGATAGGAGAAACTACAGATTGTGCCGTTAATATTACGCAACAACTACCCTAGGAAATAACATAGAATGCAACTTCAAATGCAACAAAGATTAAGTATACTTTACTTTGTAAATGGTAACTTCCTAAAAGCTTACTATTATTCCGCCTGTGTTGTTCATGTTGTATGCTTTATGGGCGAATTTGCTAATAGGATACATTTCTCTGTTCCTTCTGAATCATTTCTGATTTTATTATCTAAAATTTAACGCACACAAGAAAATTATATTTTAGCATTCATAAAAATTTTCTTCTTTCCGACATCTTCATTCTTGACTTCGCCTCCACTCAAAAAGGAATTGCTTTCTTATAATTTCTTTCATCATCTTTTTTATTTCTTTTTTTTAATTCAAGAAGAGAAACCATGCAGCGAATGCTCTCGAGTACTTCTTGCTAATACTTGATCGGTCTTTATGCTTCATTGTTCATATGCGCCTCTTCATGAGGGTTGATTCGTATAGATACACGCGCGTACGATGTTTCCGTGATCTTTAATTGCATTGATCCAACAAGAGGACGCCTTTCAGCGTAACTCCTTTAATTGGTGATAGGAGGTGGTCATTAATTACAATCGACGAACCTCTGGCATCGCGGTTGGTTTATTTCGAAGCTACTTTCGATCTCTTGTTCTTTCTCCCTCCCTTCGCTTCCGTTGTACTTCTCGCTCAGCTGCTCCCTTTTTCTCCCTCGCTAATCCTTTCACTTCTATGAAGCGTAAAAATCAAAATGAACGGTAATTAAAATTGACGTTTTCTCTCGTTCTCTCTTTCTTGGTGGAATGATTGAAATAAAAGACCGAAAAGAACAATATATAGTATCAATTATAGTATCAATATTAGAACAGAAAACAAATCTTTTGTCTATATTTACAAGTATATAATATACAAGATAATAGACAATTATTTCATTTTATTCAACTTAATAATGAATATTTTATATTTTAAAAATACATTTTAGTGCATTTGAATACTGAGTTTTCTGTCACTAGAGCTTTCATGTCTAATGATTGGTTGCACGTTTATTAAAAAAATGTTTCTTTTTATTTTCAGATCGCCGACTGGTGTCCCGAACTCATCAGAAAACTGGTCGATTCTCATGGCAGCGTGGAAACTCACAGTCCTCTTCGCTGCGGTCTTGCCACTTTGCTTATGTGAGTGAGTCTCCCTTTCTCTTCATGTTTGCATGTTGGAGTCCTCGTAATCCGTTTATAATTTAGGTTGTTTGAAACATGACGCGTCAAACCCTAAATGTAGGAATTCACACAAGGCTTACGCTTTCTAACTTTATAAGAAATAAATAATTTCTATTACGTTGTCATTACTTTTTCACATGTGTCCATAATTTTTATAACGAATAGCCAAATTATCAAGATCCCTAAATATGAGATTTAAATAAATAAAAAAATGCTATTTCAACGCTTGGGGTTGTTATTACTTTATGATATGTGTCTATAATTCTTATAAGGAATAGCCAAATTATAAAATTTCCAAAATCTGAGATCTAAATAAGTAAGAAATGCTATTTCAGCGAAAAAATTCTGGTCATTCTTCTGATATTTACCATCCTCGAACCTCTCACGATGTCATTCGGAAGTCACGGTATTTCCGAGCGTGGGAGAACCACGGCGGTTCTCATAATTCGATGAAAGAGTCGGGACGAGCGAAGGAAGCGAAATGAACCACGTCGTGACGGCGAGAGAGTCGCGTCACACCGTCGTGACGAGAAAAAGGACGAGATTGAAGGTCCAGGAAAAAGGATAAATCGAAGGGACGATCGCAGGCGTCGCCGTCAACCGTAACCGACTTTCATGAGGAAGCCACGGAAATTCTCCTGATGTCGTACAACAACTTTCCTCCGCGATATTGTTTGTTCTGACGACAGCGAGTGCGCTGAACCGTTAGGTCGAAGCGGGAATAATGCTCGAATATTTGCTACGGAATATGATGTAAATATGGAGATAGTTATGGTTAGATGGCCGATATAAAAGAGTCGTGCGCGATATTTTATAGGATGTTTATTTGAACCATCGACATTTCTGTCAGTTGTAACAAACATCTCAGACATCTCCTTAGGTAAAAATAAAGAATTTACAATACTTTTCATTGGTGCTTTTCCTCCCTTGTCAAAATAAAATTATAATTTCCTAAAATTCCAAAAATTTCAGAATTTTATAAAACAAACTGACATATAGTATTTACATCTTTAAACATTACATAACGTTTAGACATAAATACTTATTTTATCAACTTTGAACTGTGAATCAAGATTTATATATATATATATATATTATATATATATATATATT